TAGAAAAAAATCAAATGCTCTCATTATTGCGACGAATAAAAGGAACTTCAATCCTAGAGAAGTTCGATTTCTCCCAATCAAATGCATCTGAAGAAGAGATAACTGTTATTCACTATGAAATCATATTCATTTGAAAATTAACAACCAAATGATAGTTGGTTCACATAAAATTCTCTTGATAAAACTGTTTTGTTCTGTCAGTGTACAATGGGAGAGAATAATTTTGATTTTTGGGTAAACCAACGAACTTCTGGAGTCAGCAAACTATTGGCTAGAAAAAAATCAAATGCTTTCATTATTGTGACGAATAAAAGGAACTTCAATCCTAGAGAAGTTCGATTTCTCCCAATCAAATGTATCTCAAGAAGAGATAACTGCTATTCACTATGGAATTATGTTCATTTGAAAATTAACAACCAAATGATAGTTGATTCAAATAAAATTCTCTTGATAAAACAATTTTTTTCTGTCAATCAACATTTAAAAAAATGAACAAGTTCTCAACAAATCTTTTTATCCAAAATCTTGCTTCACATAAAACGCACATTTTTCGGGAGCAAAATACGCAAGGAATTATCAAGTATTAAATCCATTTTCACGACAAAAATTTTCCATCCCAGAAGTTTTCAAAATAGTCAGCACTAGATTTCATTTTTCTATAATGTTCAACAAACGATTTTTTCGATTCAAACAAGACTCGCATGAGTAAATATATTGTTTTCTCCCAGCCTACATTTCCCCCACCGACGAGACGATAGTGTTCCAAAAATACCTCCCCCCGAATGCGGTTTCACTTCGACAATCAGCGGTAAGAATCTAATCAGACTGGTTGATTGGTTTCAATCGATCCCCAATCATCCAGAGGAAAGTTAAATACCATCCGAAGGTTCCATACTATTGACGCTACATCACGTTTGAGGTTCGTCGCATTGCCCAACAACGCAGTGTCAAAGCAGCATTTGACGAATGCACGAGCCATTGTTCGGTCAACCGCAGTTAATTGGCAGAGACTCAACCAGCAGACTTTATCCAATTCCATCGACAACAACTTCACACATTCGCCCCCTCATAAAGCCCAACAGCGAGCACAACCCGACGAGTTAGCAATTTCATCCAGCAGCACCGAGACATTGAAACCATCAGACAGAAGGTAAAAAAGAAAGGCCAGAAGTACGAAAAGCTGCAGAGGTATTCCCAATGATGCAGGCAGAGTTGAAGTGGAAAGGGCGGAAAAGGGAAAATACGTGGAGCAACGAAACCGACTCTGGCGCCATCCAACTACTGTGCACCACTACCTTTGCAGCAGCTGAAGGGTGTTTGTCCGTGTATTCATCCGTGTATTCGCGGGGGCGGAGACCGCAGAGTATTGATTTCAAGCCCCTGCCTGCCGTGTGCGACCCCGACGGCTTTCCATTCTCCCCCTTTTCCAACCCCCATTTTGACTGCCTTTTCTCTCCCCTCGTCATCCCCCAATTTTACTCCCGGCATTATAGGCTGTGTACACACACGTCTCCCCCCCCCCTCCCCCCGCCCCACCCGGGTTTGTGTGTGAGAATTAAATTGTACACAGACTAACACAACCAGTTTTACTATCAGCCGTTTTCTCTATCGGTATATCTACCTCGCTTATGCGACTCTCCCTCGTCATCGAGCGGCCAATCAACTCCACCCGGTGGTTTACCAGTATGTATATGATTCAAGTTCTTACAGATATTCAAAATATTAGCACTGGGAGCGGATAATCGATTGGAATAATAAGAATTATTGAATTAATGTACGTGGCTTGTTTCAACCTGCAGATGATAGCACTCGACAATATTTACTCGTGATTTATCTCGTTTTCAAGTGTTTTGGTACTGCAGTTGGTCAACAGTTGAGAGGGGAGTATTTCGATATTGATATGATGGGTAATTGAATGATGGGTTGCCTTCTCTCGTGCTTTCTACTCGCTGATGTATGCGTGACAGTGACGATGATTTTGCGAGACTTTCACGGGCGTGTTGGGTCAAAGTAGAAGAGCTCTAACATATAGTGGGAATGTACACTGATAGAATGATTCATTTATTCCAAACGAGATTCGTTGACTATTAACGAATGGTAGAGTTGAATATGAACAAATGAATATTCGTTAATAGTTATTTCAAGTGAACCATTCGTTATTGAATGGTGAAAGTCAAGTCAAACAAGGCTCTTCAAATATACATTCGGTAACTATTAACGAATGAACATTTGGTGAGACCGAATGGACCCCAACCTCCAACCAAAATCCATTCGTTAACAATAACTAATCCGTTCTATCAGTGTATGCGCTAGGAAAAAAATCGACGTATCACAAAAATCATTTCTAGTGATGTCGCGAGACATTTCACGAGACATCACGAGACAATACTTTTGAGGGATTGAAATGGGCAGTATCGACTGCTCTCGTGATGACTCCGAGTCAATTTATCTCATCTTGGTTTTCAGTTTTTCTCAATTCAATTCAAGTGGTTTTTGCATTAAAATAGTTTCGAATTGAGGCTGAAAAACTGTAAAATGAATTAATTCAATTTGACTTGGTTTGAGAAATAGGTTTCTTCTCATCAAAAAATTGTCCCCATCACTAGGACAAGTACAAAGTTACTTGACGAAAGTTTTCTTTTTCTCAGTACAAGATATTTTACTCCTGAAAATTTTCAAGCCAGAAGTTTCTTGATATAAGTAAAGACGTATTTCTCAAAAACCTTTGTTTTTGTCAGTGCGAGAACTTTATCCTCAAGAGATGAGATATTTGGAGTAAGAAATTAGTTTTGTGATATCATGACGATACTTCTCTCAGTGTAGCCATCGCAGTGAAAATTACTGAAGACAATTATCCCGAGAAGTAATTGTAAATTGGTATGAAATGACCCAATCACCCCGCGCAATTTGTGTGATTAGAATGATTAGTTGCGTATAATGAAGCAATTTGAATGATAATGTTTTGAAGGAAGATTGTTGTCAAGGTAATTTGTAAGACAGTATGTTTTAACAGCAACTGGTGCATCGATTTTCTTCAACGGTATGTGGTTATAAAGTCACAATTAGTAATTAGTGTTTCTGAACTCGAGTGAATATGCCAAGAACAGACAGGACAAGTTGAAATCTCTCTCGTTAAAGCAATTAAACTCATTAGGAAAATTCTTGATTTACGATAAACCGGGGCAATTGGTGGCCGAATGTATTGATATTCTGTATAAGACGATAGTTACCGAGTTTCTTAATCGATGGGTGACTCGATGAAACGCAAACCACATGTTCAGATTCTTAAGATCGTGTCTACAAGTATTATACGACAATGAAAGAAAGAGTGATGTGTGCCAAGGCGAGATAAAATGACTCGAAGGTCCTACATACATAAATACAAATTGATGATACACTGTAAAACATTCTTTAATCGACACTGTATCCCTAGAAATATTATTTTCATGCATCATTGTGTACTAAAAGTGTGATGATTTTAGGGTTTTCTTTTATAATTTGATTCAAAAATCTTCTCACCAGGGAAATCATTCCTGATGCACTTGTTCAGTGACGGACTGATTCATTTATTTCAAGCGAGATTCGTTAACTATTAACGAATGGTAATGGTTAGCGTTGAATATGCCCAAATGTGCATTTGTCAACTATTAACGAATGAACAATTTGGTGAAGCCGAATAGACCCTCGTCTCCAACCAAATCCATTCGTTAGTACTAACCAATCCTTTCTATTAGTGCTCCTCATTATTAGTCAGCAACAGTTCAAGGTACGCGAGTGGAATATTCAAACACTGCACTCGAAAATTAGTGAATTTGTCGACAAAAAGTAGGGTGTCCATGATTATTTACACACAGAATAGTAATTTTGAACTGACGTTAGTTAATTCTACGCACTGGTACATGAAAATTATAGCACATTCACATGAATTCATACACTGAGAGAAGAACAAACACGTTCTCAAACAAGTCTTGTTTGGACCAACAAAATGAGTAGTTGAAAATAGCTAAAAAAGAATTTATTTGATCCGATTTTGAAAGTTTCAAACATGAACAATTGCTCTGCGTTCAACACCATCGAAATATTTGGCTCCAGAGGCGGATAATTAATACGAGACGGTGCCCTTTCAGGATGAAAATATCTCACATACAGAAAAGTTTATCAAGAAACATTTTGTCTCCAAGTTAGAAGATTGCTATCATATCATTATTATTGTTTCATTTAATGCAGCTGAAACTAGCGGAAAATTCGTCAGCGGAAAATTCTATTTAGGGGATATTTAAGTATAGGAGAGTCAAATAATCATATGTACAAATGTTTGTTAAGTGCGAAAGAGTTTGTACATTACTTAAAAACATTTGTACACCCCTAGATTCGCCTAAGACAAATTTTCTGCTGTCGAATCTTTCTCTAGTATCAGCTTCATTTTCATTTAAGAGTTAATTTTTTATCTGTGATTATTAGATAGCCGAGACATTTCTTGTGTGTACAAAGAATGGAATTTGTTTAAACTACTAAATCTATTTTTGCGACAAAAATTTCTCATCTCGGCGCACTGTCTGCATGTTTGGCACAAAAAATCTTAAAATTATCTTTTCTTGGCAAATTTCAAAAAAATATTTTCTTGGCACAAGCAAGACTTGTTTGAGAACTCTGTCGTTTTTCTCTCAGTGTATTGAATGACAATGGACATAAATTTGAGGTGCATGAGTGTAATAAAACAATGTGAAAATTATGAAGTTGAAACTAGCAGAATATTAGCGAAAAATACAATTTGGGGAATATTTAAGTGTAGGAGAGTCACATAATCCCATGTACAAACGTTTTTTAGGTGCGAAAGAGTTTGTACATTACTTAAAAACATTTGTACACCCCTAGATTCGTCTAAGACAAATCTTCTGTGGTCGAATCTTTCGCTAGTTTCAGCTTCACGTGAAAATTAGAGTTATTTTTCACAGTCTACGGTTCATGTGATTCTTTTGTGAGATGTGAGATGCGCTTACCTTTGGTTCGGCATTTGAAGTCTTTAATTTTTTCGTTGGTGGTGGACTACACGCGGCTGTATCCATAGCCTCGTCCACAGTTGTATTGAGTGTTGGTCCAGGCACTGCTGCCACTTTAGTCTGTTCAGGTTTAGCAGCAGAGCCAGCGGCCGTTGCTGACGCTGGACTTGGTGGTGGACAAGGTGCTGCTGCACTTGTTGCAGGTGGTCCAGCCCCTTGTGCCACAGGAAAGCCCGTTCTCGAGCTGGGCGGTGGGCCCTGGGTCTGTTGGGGTGCTGTTGCAGCGGGAGTTGGTCCTTGGGACTGGGCCGCAGCACCCGTTGAATTTTGACTCTGTGACACTGGTCTCGCTGTACCATTCATCTCGGGTTTATTCTGTTGAGGGCCGTGATTACTCTGCGGTTGTTTTTCGTGTTTATCTCTCGCCTTGTCCCTACGATGACCACTTGAACCGCGTTTAGAGCCAGCCGTTGACGAGGCTTGGGGTCCAGAAGCCGCTGATGCCGGGGAGTGTGGCTTGGACTTGTTGGATGATGATGAGGAATTATTGCTTGTTACTTCAGCAATTGAATTTTGGGATGATGTCGACGATGAGGATGATGTCGATGAGGTTGACGATGATGATGAGGAATTTGATGATGATGAATTGCCAGTACCGTCTTGTGACGATGATGTACCATTGATCTCATTGGACTTGACAATTTCGTGTTTGGCCTCGCTGGTCTTTGTACCTGGTTTAGTGCGTTTTATCTTCATTTTGAGGCCCTTGTCAACAGTGGCCGAGTGTTCAACAGCCATTTTGCCGGGATTTCCGGCGTTCGTGTGTACCGCGTTAACCGCGCCGGGCTGTTGCTTACCAGTTGGACCGTTGCCCGTTGAATTATTATTTGTATTAGTGGCTGTTGTTGTATTACCACTGGCGTTAACCGAGTTAACGGAATTTGTTGTATTAACTGATGACGAATTGACGCCGCAGGACGGTAACGCGGAGGTGGACGACGAGCACGACAACGATAAAGAGGCTGACTGACCGTTACCACTTGAAATTATTGTTGACGATGATGAATTCTGGGTTGTCGTTGAATTCTGCTGTACCTGATGATTCTGATTTGTTGTGGCTGTTGCTGCCGAGGCAGGCGTTGAAGCCATCCCGTTTCCCGAGCTCAATTTCTCGTCCCTCGTCTTCTCTATATCAGCATCAAGGTCGATTATAAGATCGCCTATGCCAATGTCCCATTCATTGTCGTCGTACTCGAAGTTGTTGGTCGCATTCGTCGCGGCCGTGTCCGTTTCCCCGGCGTTAGCAGCCACTGTGCTAGCTGTTTTCGACTCACGACACGTCCCCGACTTTTCACAACTCTGTCTTCTACTTTGTTCCTGATAAATATTACAATCGCGATTATTTTTACGCTCACATCTACTTTGGACAGTGTGATTATTACAGCTGTTACCGCCCTTATCACCGACACTTGTCGGTGTTGCTGGTATCGCCGCGCACGGCGAGATTCCTTTGCGGTTTGAATTAGGGAGGCGACCGCCTATTGGCGTGGTCGCCATGCCCTTGGAACCGTTTCCCCGGCGCCCGCCAGCCTTGCCACCGACTCGACGCCTTTTCTCGCCGGTCCCGAGTAGGATCCGATGGTTAAAGTGCTTGAACCCCGACCACCACCCGCAAGACGCTCCTCGTCCATCGAACACATCACTTATCACCTATTTCTACACCCTGGTACACCTCGTTTCCGCTACCACTCGCTCCACTATTTCTACTCCACTCTCAAGATCTCTCTCTTTTTCCCTCTTTCACCCTCTCTCTCTCCCTCTTTCGTTTATAATCGCCTTTAATCCCCCTCGATCCTTTCACGTCTTCACAATTCACCGGTGCACCAATCACCACTTATTTCAACACACCATTTCACTCTCTATTTTCGACAACCGCTTTTCCAATAATCTTCTCCTCTCAATATCACAGCCACCACAATCACCAACTCATCATCACTTCAGTAATCACTCATATCAATCCTGGCGTGTGACGTGTAACCAACTATCTCCAGGATACTCCTCTCTCAATCCCTCGGAAGCGAGCCCCTCCGGCATTGGTCCCATTCTATAACATAAAGACAGAACAACCGGTCAGTTGATTCGTAACAGAAAATGAGAAATAGGTTTTCATGTTCATTAATCTTATAAGGGGGTAGGAATTGGTGAGAAGGGAGTGAGAGACTTCATCTCTGAGCTCTCTTCTGTACGCCTTGCCAACAAATTGGTATTCCCACTTGGGTAGGAATTCGTGTCAGAGAACGATTAATTTTACCGGCAGCATTTTGGCGACAATCCAAAACGCAGACGATGCGCCTCGCCAGAAAGAGAGAGAGAGAGAGAGAGAGAGAGAGAGAGAGAGAGAGAGAGCATCCATTCCATTCTCGTTGATTCAAGCACGTTATATCTAGTTACTTCGTTCATACCAGTGTCTCATTCTTACTCAATTTCTAAATGTACCGTTTCATCTTGTTTAGCGGGGTGAACTGCCCACCGATAACTCGTCTGAGCACTACATCATCATTCCCAATTTATTCAAGTGAGAGACCAATAATCGAAACTATTGAACTTTATCGAATATCTGGATAGAGTTCTCAAATGCAACTCAAATTGCTCATTAAATTCCCGTTGAATTTGAGATGACTGTTCTCATTTCCTTCAATACATTGTCAACAACTTTTGGCTCACTGTTATCTTCTGAGAAACTCAAGTTGGCTTGTTCCACATGATTATTAGGACCCGTCGTCACCTTGCATGTGTCACGTTTCATTGTTTGAGCCAAAAGTCGATGTGCTCGATTCAATTTCAATTGGTGAATGTTTTGTGACGGAAATAATTTTGAATGACAAGTGGCACACGTGGAGACAAAGTCTCTGTTGACGGCTCTGAATAGACACCAACATTGTATTGTACAATCTAATTGGATCTTGGGTGATCTAAAATAATCAAACATGAAGAATTGTAACGCGAATTAAATTGGAATGCTTTAGCGATGTCTAATGGACATTGTAAACCTACAACATGTGTACAACTTTCATCGGGTTGAATACGAGGTGTGGCGTCTGTGAGTTATAAACAATGCCCGGTCAATGGGTGGTTGAGCATAATATTGTCGCTGGTAATTTACAACTGTTGTCCCCAGTCGGTGGTATCAAAGAGCACAAGGTAAACGCAAATGAAGAGAGAAAATAGTGAATGTTGCTGCGGCGAGAGAAACTACATGAATCCTTCAGCGCATACACGGAAGCATTTTTACGCGAGAGAAAGCACTATTTTGAAATCACTAGCAATATGTAATTCAGCATAATCTTTTATTGTCACATTACCCATACACGGCAGGATAATATTGCCTCCAACTCCAATATGTAGTAACTCTGAGGAAAACAAGAAGTCAGGGATAAAAAGAGATGAAGCACACGACTTGTGAGATTGAAGCGGCCACAAAAGGAAAGTTGAGATGGAACAGCGGTTGTTCCACTGGTGTAGGAAGAGATGGTGTTTCCCCAGTTGGGAAGTGATTTAAATCACTCCATGGCAGTGCTAAGAGGTGGGTAGAAAACGGTAACGGGAGAGATGGGTTGAAACATTGTGGAAGGTTACCAGCCGACCCTCGGGAACTTGCAAGAAGTAACGTAGAAATGTAAGTGGAAATACAGTATTTATTCAGAGGGACGATACGTGATGAAAACTACAGGAATTACTCGGCTGAGGGAGGGAGGGGGAGATAAAAAGAGAGAGGCAGGTTAGTTGTTTTTTTTGTCCACGTCTTCCTTCAACTTCCATGCCTCACACATTCGTGCCTGGATGTAATAAAAACTCTGGTCGTATGCCATATGCCCACAGGCTGAAATGCCTCCCTTATGTGATTCTACACCAATATCCCTTTTACGCCCCAATCCCATTGTATTTTCGTCTCCTATGCACTTGTATAAGCATGTGCAAATGTATTCACACTGGCGCACACACATGTATCAAGCCCAATAGTCCTATCACGACCCCAAAAGTCACGATGTAGCAGATGCTCCTCTGTGGCATGGGCTCACTCATCCGTACAACATCACTGGGGCCTCCCTCTTCTTTTTTTACTATTCGTTGGTGTGTGCCCCCTCACCCCTTGTTCATGTGTTGGAGCGTGTACTAGCCATAACACACGCCGTTGCACAATTGAAGGACTTGCAAATCATGACCCTCTTAGAATCATTCCAAAACGATTATGTGTGGGGATTGGGTTGCGGTTGGTTGCCCCGATTTCAGGGGCTTTCGATTTGTTTTTTTTTTTTCAGGGAAGATTGAGTGGTTTTGGGTCTTGGGAGTTGTTGGATCAATTGGTGTTATGGACAATATACCTTCATCACGTGAAACTGGGTCTCTGCTGTTGTTGATGAAGTTTTGTCTCTATTTTGCATGCACACAGAGCGGGAATTGAAATGTACCATTGTGAAATTGAAGTAATTTAAGAGCGATTATATACGCAAGCAGGGAAATTGCTAGACCGTTTACTATGTGCATATTCTCATGTTATGTGCGATGATGTACGTGTATGTACCGTGAGCATGGAACAATGTGTGCATGTCGGGGTGGCAGTATGATATGAGAAGCAGCGGGTTTCATACAGAACACGCAAATTTGCTCAGGTGGTATTTCACATCTGGTAGCGGATATAGTTTGAATTACAGGAGGGGTATTGTGATGGTGGGGAGTATAGATCATGGGACGATCAATGTTGCGATAGTGGTGGCAGAAAACAATGAATTTTCGCATATAATATGGGGAGAACAAGTGGCCCATTGCACAGGTCTAAATCAACTATAGTTTTTTTAAAATAAAAATTAGCTATTTGCTTCCGAATGGATTAATCGAATTAAAACAAAAAAGTGCGTATTCGGTTTTCTGTCATTAATTACAGATTAATAGGGATCCTTCCTGAAGTTTAATCTCAGGAAAAGTTGATAGTTTTTTTTAAAGACAATTTGAGATCAACTTTTTTAGTGAACTGAATTTGTTTTGAATTAGACGTATTGCGTAAAAACAAAATGAATGTAAAATTTGACATCACAAGAGTTCATGCTCCTGATAGATTAATGTTGATATCTCCTCGGTCGTAAGTAAATTATTTAAATTTTATTTTTCTACTGAATAGTTGTCCTTAAACTGGATTTGAGACCAGTCTAACTTTTTTGCTAATGAATTAGCAATTTGCTTCTGACTGGTAAATTGGGGAAGAAGATATATCAGCCATGAAACCTTAATATGATACCTAAATGTCCCAAATGTCTAACATGAGCTCCATATGCCCTGGTCAAACATCTAACAAACGCCGACTAAATTCAAATTAAACTGGTTTAAACTCCCACTGAACATTGATTAAACTTTGACGAAACCTTGGCTAAGCCCTGATTAACCTCCGACTAAATCCCGACTAAACCATGATTAAACCTCGATTAAATGTTTTAAAGCTATAATTTCAAAGCAAATGATACGATCGCCATTATCTTCCAACTCGACCGAGATAACATCCAAACGAATACTTTAAGCCATAATTGGAAAGATTCCGACGATTATATTTTCAATGATTCTCGAACAACTAAATTTGAAAAAAGCTCCCACACATACATACATACATAAGGACGATCTAAAAACAGCACATTCGAGCTCCAGAGACCAAAATTAGCCATCGTCACACAAAAAACGGAAATTTCAAATTTTCAAAATACAATGCGTTCATTCGAAAGTAAAAATGAACATCCGAATGGATTGAGAACCGAGTTCTTGAATTGGTGACAGCATACTTCCAAAAATACGCTGGCATATGAAGTTATTCACGTCAGAATGATCAAAAAGACTCATCAATATTAGATAGACACCAGGCCAGACAATGCCCTGAAATATTGAACAACCATTATCCCACAATAACCCTGGATGTTGCTATACCCCACGGCCTACCGCACTCGAAGACATTTCTAATTCACCATTGCATTACAGTCTTGAATGGATCGTAAATACAGAGGCAAACGGAAATCCGTGAATCGTTAGTGTATTGAATCGCGTACAAATTATGTCAACTTGATATTCCATCACACCTGTCTCGGTTGAGCAGGCTGGTTGGAGGCCGGTGAGGGTTAGAGGTGGAGTTTGCCCGTAGCTTGAATAATTGAGGACTCGTGGAGAGCCAGGAATGGCTAACGCCCGTTTACCTACCACTGCCCCAGAGCATCAGAGTCCGTCTGACAATAACCTGAATGATCCAAGCGCGAGACATCTCCATTCTTCAAATCAATGGATTAACATTCACCAGCCGAGTCATGCCATTCTCATTACAACTGTTGTGAATGTTACAACGCCAGCGGAAATGACTAATTGACATTATAATTGACAGACATTAGAGTGAGAAGGAGCAAAGTAGGCAATCAATCTTGAAACAACAGCGAAAAACTGTCTAGCGCACTATCCCGGAAATAGCCGCAAATTAGGCTTGAGTGGAGCTTTAGCGTCTCAGTTAGTTTGTTCGGTTGAGGCCAAGGGTCATGGCTTGAATGAACCTACTGTAACTAGGTCTGTCCTCTCCCTGATGGACGACTCATTGGGAAAGAGCATGTGAAGCGTGTGACTAGATACAAGTGGCGATTGCGCAGCAAAGACAAAACAACTCGAATTGCTCCTTTTTTTGGGAATAATGAAAGCAACAAGAACTTGTTGAAGGATCCCATCAGTGTCACCACTAGGAGCCAACCGAGATCATGCTCACCACCATAATCAAAAAGGAAATGGTAACGAGAGCTCAACGTACGTCTGCCGGAAGTACTTGTCAGCCACTTAAGTAGGCTTTGGAGGGGTTGACGCGATGTGTATTATTTCGAAGTGTACGTAACCGGCTCGTGCTACACCAACGACCCGCAGGAACCATACCCACTCTCTTCTATATACGTGCTGTAGGCCATCCCAACTCGAGCGTTGCTCATAATTGGTATCGTGCCTCCGATCCAACACGTATAACGCCGGAGCTATATCTTTCGGTACCTCTACATGAACAGTTTCATGTAGAAGGGAGCACGCTAACTTATCGGGTGG